ACTGCCCCCCCGGTGCCAGGTCCCCTCCTTCCCCGCAAAGGCCCCGGGGGGAGCCCTGCCGGGGGATGGCACCCACCCTCCCCATCCCTCGGCCACCCCGCCGGCAGGACCAGGGGCAAAGCCAGCATGCCCCGAGCACAAAACCGCTCCCCAGGCTCCGGCCAGGCCCGGCTCCCTCGCGCCCGCTCGGTCCTGGCGCCCCCGGGGCACGGCAGCCCCCAGCACCCCACTCCCACAGCCGGGGACAGGACCCCAGCCTGCCCCTCTGTCCCCCGGGACCCTGCAGGGACCCGGCCCCTCCTGCGGCACTGGAGATCCCCCAGGCCCTGCCGGCACAGCCGGCCCGCAGAAGCCGAGCACCCCGGTCCCACCGCACAGCTCTGCTCAGCCGCCGCCTCGGGGCACTCACCTTACCGGGCACGTCCTCCCCGCCGGCGTCCCCCGGCGCGTGCTGCCTCGGGGCCGCGCTCCTCGCCCAGGCACCGGGATGAGCCTTCCCCACGCGTCAGCACAGCCACGAGGCATCACCTGGGCCCCCCACTGGGCCACCAACACCCCCCGAGGGACCGGCGGCACTGGGACGGCCATCGCCGTCGCTCCCTGGCCAGGCCGGCTTCACCGTCTCACCGATGGGGCCGCAGGAGCCAGCATAGATCCCTGGAGCCGCTTCTGCTCCCACCGCAGCACGTTTTGAGCTGAAAAAGAAGGTTTTCAGTCAAAGCAGGGCTTCACACAGGGCCCAGAGCCAGCCCCAGGCCCTGCCATGGCAGCGCCTGACGCTGCTGGCTCCGGGCCCCGGGGCTCTGCCCACGCGGATGATGGTTGGCAGGGCTGAAGGGCTGAAGCCCACTGGAAACCGGTTCCCCCCAGCAGCAGCTCCCACACTCACCGCTCCCAGCTCTCCCCGGCTCCGGCAGAGCCAGCGCCCCAGCGGCGGGAGGGGTCACTGGCCGAGAGACCCCCCAGCCCCGCTGGGTCCTCCCCCAGGTACCGGGTGGGGTGG